CCCCCCCGCGTCCATTTCATCCCCCCAGCCTTTTCTGTTCCTCCTCTCCTGATTCTGACGTTTCGTAGAACTACACGTGAGATAGACGAGCGGGTTATTTTATGCGAATCACACGTTGCGGAGGGGGAGGACTGTATGTATGTGTCTTATTAATAGCGGAGGAATACGTAGCGTAGTTACGGAGAAGAAGCGATAAACGATTGCGTTTTTCTCCAACGGCTACCCGGGGAGGAAACGTTCGTCAATGAGGATCCGATTCTCCGAGAGGAGGCAATCGAAGATCGGCGAGCCGAGATCGCGCGCTCTATGGCGAATTTCGCGGGGAATTCCCGGACTTTTTAACATCGTAAATACAGGCGATACCATTTAGAACGCGTAATTGATCTCGAAACGCGTTCTCCGCGGTGAATTTCTTGCCAAAAGTCTAATTGTGACCGCGCAGTTCGGAGAATCTCCGCGTTACGTCAAAACTCTCGCAACTGGAGTTCCGCAGAATTGAGAAGTAAAAAAGAAGAAATCTCGCGCGCGAGATTGATGGAATAATAATATATTATTATCTGTTCCTATTTTAACACGTATATATATATAACTCGCGTTTGGATCTCCCAAGGTTAAGCACGACCCCTATAACTTCGCCTTACCTTGAGTTTTCGTGAGGGAAAACTTGATCGCGCGCGTGGATTCGCCATGTTCCTCAAGTTTTGACGTAAACTTCAGGAAACACCCCGTATACCGGATGTAGGTCCACGATGCCTTCAATTTGTTTGCTCATGAATACTTTCCTCCGATCCTGGCGACGTGAATACATCGCTCGCGCAGTCGCACTCGCCTCTAGATGCGGAACAGCCACCAGGAAAGTGTAAATTAAAATCCAGGGCGGTTACTCGTGCGAAGAGAGAGGGAGAAAGAGAGAGAGATAGAGAAGGAAAGAAGGGGGGGGGACGAGGGAGGGAAAAAAGAGAGCGAGACAGAGAGTAGGAAGGTAGAAAAGGGAGAAAGAGAAAGAGCGGACGAGGAGGAGGGGTAGAGAGAAACTTGTGCAATAAAATTCGCAAAATTTATGAATTAACTTGCACGTTGGCGACACACGCGTGCAGATATTGCGCGTTACGATGATATTTACAATTAATTACACACTACGGTGCGAAAGGGCCGCAGATAGTGGAAAAAAAACAATTACAATGCCACTGCGCGAGCGAGAAACGCTTGCGCCGATCAGAGAGTTGTACGAGTGTCATTCCGGATGGAAGTCCCTGAGATTAAAGGCAAGGCCGATTCTCGCGGATTCCGCCGATCGCTATCGAAGATCGGAATCAGCGAGTCGCCTCAGTATGTCAGGTTTACCGAGATATTTCGCATAATATCACGCCCAATAAAATAACATCTCTCGCGTCTCAATATGTGCCACGAGAGCGGATTTCAGTCTCTCGACTCGTGATCTGTCTTCCCCGGCGATTCGCAAAACGATTCTGCCGGATCTCCGCCGGATCGGATCTCGTATGCCGATACTAATTAGACAACGCATCGTCGTCGTTAATTCACCGCCGCCGAGATCGTCGAATGTTCTTCCTGGAGCGCGTGCGCGCGGACGGAAGAAAAGATCGCGATTCGTCGCGCTCAGAACCGCGAAATCATCCCCCTCCCCTTTCCCAAAATCTCAGCCCCGCACGATGCCTTTTCACAGCGAAATTTCGCGGCGAAGCAAAGAGAGAGAGAGAGAGAGAGAGAGACGGCGACGTCACGCCAATTCTGGGACACCCTATAAACCTCCACATATATACACCCTGTGCACGAACAGCCCTGCCGTGGCAGCGCGCTCGGCGCGTCCTCCACCTCTTCCGCCACCGCCTCTGCCGCCGCCGCCGTCGCCACCACCTCCCCATTGCCTCCACTACCACCACCGCCGCCGCCGCCGCCGACGCCGCCGACGCCGTCGTCGTGGAGGGTTGTACATCGCGCGGGCATCGAAACGCGTCGAAACGCGAGGCGGCCGGATCGGACTGACTCGCGAAAATCGATCGGCGCCCCGTCGCGTCGTCGTACTCTCTCTCTCTCTCTCTCTCTCTCTTTCTCCCTCGCGGGTGTTACAGAGCGGCGTGCAGAGCGCACGCGACAGCACGCGTCGCGAGAAATCGTCGTCCTCGTCGTGAAATTCGGAGGAAGTGGAAAACCGGCCGGACGAGGGCCACGCGAGGGAGAGGCGGGAGACTCCTCTCTCTCTCTCTCTCTCTCTCTCTCTCTCTTCCGTTCTCGCGAAAAAGCGAGACCGGCTCGGCCGCGAGAGAGAGAATCGCGGGGCAGAAGAGAAGAGGGAGAGACACGGAAGGAGAGACAGTGGGTTCAATCGCCCCGTCGATGCCGGCCCGCGATCGTTCTCGAGACCGAGCGACGAGGGTGTTTCTTGCCGTTCCCGTGAGTGCGAGATTCCGCTGGAAAAACGCCGGAAGGCAGGACGACGTCGATGGGGATGTCGGGATTCGTCGAGCGACCGGTGCCCGGTGGTAGAGCTCGCTCGCCAGGTGCGCGTGTGTGATCGTTAGCTTTGATCAATTGGCGTTCGCGAGCTCGAAATTTGGCGAGGAGAGGATCACTTGAGAGACCTCCGACGAAAGGCGGAAGCGTGCGAACGATCGGCTTGTGTATGTGTGTGCGTACTGTGTGCGTGACTGTGCGTGTCCACCGCGACGAATCGTCGTCGAGCTATCAATTGCTGGCCGAGTGAAAGGTGAACCGATTGATACCGTTGAAGAGCCGCGAGCCAAGCGGCTCGCGAAATTTCACGGGGGATTTCATCGACCGGAGGGAGAGAAAGAGAAAGCGCCGAGTCTCGCGGGGAGAGCAGAGAGGAGCGAGGATGAACGGCGGCGCGCAACTGTCTGTTTCCACTACGGGGAGATCGGCCTGCGCTGTTAAGTAGAGAAAGAAACGGTGAGGACAACCGGCGGTAACAGCGGGAAAATAGAGTCGGCCGATTTGATAACGAACGAGCGAGAGTTTAGAGTGAGTTTCGAGTGCCTCGTTTTCAACAGTGTTTCCGCCACACCGCCGACATCACCTCGTATACGTTTCCCGCTCCAGTTACTAGCCTCTCTCCCTCTCTCTCCCTCGCTCGCTCTTTTTCTTTTTTCCTCCTCCCTTTCATCGCCGGAAACACGTCCGAAATAATATAAGAAATGATTGATCGCGACGGAAATTGAAGACGAGCGATAACAACGGAAGTATCGTGGGAATTGCAAGCGCACAACTCTCTCTCTCTCTCTCTCTCACTCTCTCTCTTTCTTTCTTTCTCTCTCCCTCTCTCACTCTCTCGCACGCAGTTTGTCGGCCGACCGATCTGTCATCGCCATTGTCGAATCGTCTAACGAGGTGGCCTCTCCATGGGCTCTTAGAATCCCAGAAGGACGATAATCCCCCGCGGAGGAAGAAAGGCGGTGGTGAGCTTTCTCGTCGGACGAGAGGAACGCGTTGCGCCATTTCAGGTGTGTGCCGTGAGCGGTGTGTTTGCCGCGGCTTCTCTCTCTCTCCCTCTCTCTCTCTCTCTCTCTCTCTCTATCTATCTATCTATCTATCTTTCTTCGGCCCTTCGACGTGCCACAAGGCGCAACGGCGCAACGGCGATTCTCGCGATTCACGGGAAAGTGTTCGAAAGCAGATCGAATGTAGAAGCGAGCCCGCCCGAATGATTGATGAACGCGGGTAATTAAGAAACATTAAGGAGAGCCTCCGGGGAGGAGGAACCTCGTACTCGTATTCAGAGAGAGCATGTTTCCCTCCCCTCTCGTCTCCCCTTCGAGGAGATCCTCCTCGCCGGAGGACGTTGCCGCGGGGGTGAAGAGAAGCAACGCGATGGGAAGAGGCCGTCTACCCTCCGGGTAAGGGAGGAAGGAGGAAGAGAGAGAGAGAGAGAGAGGGAGAGACGGAAAGAGAAGGAGAGAAAGAGAGAGAGGGAAGGAGAGAGAGGGAGTGGGAGGCCTTTAGGGGTGGAAAATCGTTGGAGAATACCGTCGCGGTGAAATCACTCCTCTCGAACGCTCGCGAGACGATCAGACCGCGAAGCATCCCCGCCGGGGTGTCCCGTTCCCTGCCTGCCTGCTTGCCTGCCTGCTTACCTGCCTGCCTGCTTGCCTGCCTGCTTGCTTGCTCACCCTTTCGCCCTCTCGCTGGTGAGGTGGAAGTGGAAGTAGCTGTCTGAACTCACGGAATGACAATAAGACTTCCCTTTGGTTAATCGAGAAAGAGAGAGAGAGAGAGAGAGAAGGTGGGGGGAAGGGGGCGAGGATTAACACTGTCGCTTGAGGCGACAAGTTGTTTGACAAGTGCCAGAAGTTCGGCTTTGTTTGTAAAATCGACTGAATGCAGCTCCGTGTCGGAGTGTAAACGCAAACAATTAGACGCTATTATAACGACGCGTTTTTTTAGAAGCGTTCGGCACAGTCGTTGGGTCGAATCGTCGTAATCGGCGAAATATTACTGATTCTCCATCGAAACGAAGCGTCGATCGTTAACAGGTAGACCGATCGTGTAATAAGAATCGTGAAGGGAGAAAGAGGAAATATTATCAAAAAGTTATCGTCGAGAAAGGGAGTACATTTCGGGGGCGCACGACGAGTACCGGACGAAAGAGGAAAAGCGTCGAGTTGCGAGTGGAATCAATCAGGACGCGAGTCCTGATGCGCGAGGACCGTCGTTACAAGTTGACGAATAAAGTATATAATTCTTTGGACCTGTCTCGGTCACTTTCGTGTATCGACAACTTCTCCGACACGGGGTAGCGCGAAAAGGAGGAGGGGGAGGAGGAGGACGCGACAATAACGCGAATGAATTCGGGAGGAGACGGGATAAGTAGAGTGGATCGAAATTAGAATCGTGTGCAGCCAGTGGAAAATGGTCGGCGCTTGATCAGACAGGACCGGTCTCTCCCCTCTCTCTCTCTCTCTCTCTCTCGATGCACTACTTAAAATGCACTTTATCTCACGCCGTAAAATCCATCTCCGTGAAATTCCGTATCACCGTCGCACCGCTCGGAGGGTGAAGCGCGCGCGCGCGCGCTCGACGAGTGTATTACTGTCGGCGGGACGACAATAAGCGTCAAGCGCGCTAACGACATCGAAAATAATAATTTGTCATAATCGATCATATCTCGCAGAGTCCACGGGAATTATCGACAGTAGCCGCGCGTCGGATGTTTTCGAATGTCCATCTTTATTTGAGCCGCCGCCGCCGCCGCCGCAGCGCACGTCCACATTTCTGACGCGTGACAGTGAATAATAATGCGAAGTCCCGCGTGATTTTTTCCCCCGCTACCCCCCTCTCTCACTCCCTCTGAGAGAAAGGCAAGAGCGACGGAGCGACCGGGGCTCGATCGAATCGACGTATTCGACGGATATAACAAATCGCAGCGAGGGAGAGAGAAAGAGAGGAAGGAGTGAGAGGGTGAGAATCGCGTGAAAATTATTGGTGAATCGGCGGGCGAAGAGACCGCGCAGGCAGAAACTGAAATATCAAAGAAGAAGCGGTCGATGGGACCGGTAGATATGTGATCGTAAGGTAATGAAAGACGAGGAGCGCGAAGTTGAATGCGACCGACGAGGCCGGAGAAGAGTGCGACCATCGAGGGAACGTGATCGAAGACTTTGTCGAGCGGTGACCACGTGATAGGGAAGCGATCGAATATCCGCTGGCCATTCTCGATGCCGGCGCGCGTTTGAAAACGACGATACTTTAACAACGAGGGAGCGAAGATCGCAAGATAGAAGATCGCGGGAGGGAGGATAAATACAGCGACAACAACAATCACCGCGACGCAAAACTCGAAGACGCTTGGATCGGTGAGGAGGGTTCGCCCGCATGAATCTTTATTCACTCGTGTTGATGTTCCTTTTTCCCTTAGCTGTTTCAGTTTATATCATACTTTTTCGAAAGGACACTCCGTCGAGACATTTTTCATAGAGTGCAGTATGTATATCTAAGTGTTTCATCGCTGCTTGGAGGATAAATATAACGAGAGAAATGCTCTCATCCAGCAGGAAGTTTTCATTTTGCAACGATGTGTGCGCGCGTATGTGTGTGTGTATGCATATTTTTTAATCTTTTTTCGATATATCGCTCATCTGTCTGCTGCAATCCGCGGTAATGTCGCAGTAACGACAGAGATAGGAAAAATAGACCGATTGGTTGAGCAAATCTGTAGTTTGCTGGACAATATGATGTGTTGTAAATAAGTGAAGAAAGAAAAAGTGAGAAAATTACACGTGACAGCTATTGTCAAGCTATTCATAAAGTCTATTTTTAGGTAACTTTTATCTTGATTGACGCAACAAATAGTTTCGTATTTCAAGCTGTTTTAAGTTTGTCAAGCAAATTCATTAATTTTATCGGGGGAATCATGCCGCATTTACTCAACAAACAATGAAGAAATATTCTTATTCGCTTCACGGAGGACTCAATTTCGCTTTAACTGACTATATCAGTACTTGTATATCAGCGTATGTGAGAGAAAATGGCACGTAAAAAACTATTAGCGTCATATAGCGAGCGTCATTGCTTGGACTTCTAGATTGCTAGACTCTAGATTGCTAGAGCTAATTGTTGCAATGAAATTCATCAGTGTACCACATTTCTTTCGATGCAACAGCGAAAGGGTTATCTTGATAAATACGTTTTATTAAAGACATATAAACTATATTTTTCATTGGTTTTGATAAAGAATCGGTTTTCCTGCAACCAACAAATCTATTACCGTACGATGTTACTACTGTAACATCCAACTTCATTAAATATTAATTGACTAATTTATGCAGCTTTGGCATTTAATTACTTCTTTCTTCTCTAAATTGCTCAGAGCGGAAGAGTGAATAAAAATTTACTCGGAACGATAGTGAAAATGCCGACCTTCAAAATTACGAGAGTAAATGCTTCAATCCAACTTAGACTGAATTCTTAATCCATACGAGTGAATATTTTAACACTGGAATTCCGCGGTAATTTTTTCCTCTCTCTTATAACCGCGGGTAGGTCACTTCTAACCTACCTCTTTTTTTTTTATAATGATCCTTGGACCTTTTTAAACTTTATTTTTGTTTAACTTTATCATTGTTTAATTACTTCATGATAAAAAAGATTCTTCAGAAGTTAGAATCCGAAAAAAAATAAAAAAAGTATCTGAAAGTAGATCAAAAATTACCCCCGTATTTCCAGTGTTAATCGATCGGAGTAAATTTCTTCCACGAGACGATGGGAGTATATCGGACTCACTCTTCAATTTCGAATGAAAATATCCACTCGACGATTCAGAGGGAGCATTCGTTCAATACGAGCGCAGTCGGTCGAATTCGAGTGACTCGGCTGTCATTCTAGTCTTCCGAGTGGAATTTCACTCGAAGAAATTTCGAAAGTGAGAAATAATAACACAGAAAACCGAATGTCCGTCTATATTGCGTCTACAGATTTGCTAAGCCGATAAGTCCTTTGAATGTGACGAGAAATCTTTTCTTGCGTGTCGAGATACGCACGAAACGAAGACAAGGTTAAAAGGCTCAGACACAATGAAAGGAATAAGGAACGAAGAATTAAATCTAGCCGGCCACATTTATTTTTGTCTTTAATTCGCCACGCTCCGGTTCGTAAGACCGCTCGACTTTGACACTTTTTCATTTTTGTTTCAATTAATATTTTTAAGATTATGTATTTCATTTTAAAACATTCTTACATCTTTCATTCTCTATTCCTTTTATTACTTTTTAAGGTAGTTTGTCCGTGGTGCCGGATTTTCAGTGGCGACATTAAGAAGTTCCTTCATAAGTTTATTACTTACTGAAAAAGATACTTTCCTACTACTTTATTTAACTACCTAAGTAATAATGTTAATTCTGAGCGAAATTAAGACAAATATATACAATATCACAAACACGGAAATATTGTTTATTTTTTATTTTTCTTATTAATACTTTATTTTTATGTCAGTTGAGTTAGTAGAGGTGTATATATAATAGAAAGTGGTATGTAAGTATTTACATTTGTATATATATGTATATACATGTATATCGCGGGTATTACTATAAATTTCCTATGGCTATGTTTTTAAAACAAAATGGTCAAACAAAAATTCTGAAATTTTTCTATACGTTTTTATATTATAGTCTTTAATATTACAATAGTTTCTAGAATTAGAATTCAAAATTTGGTTTAGAGGAAATTAAAAATAGAGAAGATTAAAAATATATTATCCTCAAATAATACGTATAATACGATCATTTTTAATTAAATATCTCAGCTACCTAGTGGTCAATCGTTTTCGAACTTTACAAACATGTAAATTAATATTTCCATCAATATACCGTTAAAATTCAAAACTATTCCTAAGGAAATAGTTTAACGGGCTAACTAACTATATATGATTTCTAATATTTTATTCCTAATTCTCTAAATTTAATCCCTTGTCCCTCCTTTATTCCTTTCACTGTGTCTGAGCACGGAGAAAAATAATTTCGTTGTTATAGCGAAACTACATTGTTGCTACTGCATATTCGTTACGACAGCAATCAAGTTTATTTGACATAACCAAATTAATGAATTATTCGTAATCAGGGCAGAAACAGTTTTGCTGCCAGGGTAGAAAATATTCTGCTGAATATATTTGTTCTTAGGACACGTTAATTTGCTATTAAAACAAAATAATGTTTTCCTATATTTACTAATTTATTCTTACAGCAAAATAATTTATATAGAAAGAAATTGGTCTTTAATTACGAATAGATATTCTCATACGTAGAAGCAAGAATATTATACTCTTCTTGGAATATTTTTAGCTTTGATTTAGTCTTGAATTTGTCTTATTTATATTACTTGAATTAAACTCAAGATTATAAATCTTCTAAGAAGATTTTTTACTATAATATTCTCGTTTACATATGAGAATATCTATTCTTTACTTAAGACTATTCTTTCTGTGTAGATTCAACAAAATAATCCAACGAATGGCAATTAGTACATTTGACAAATCCATGAAGTAACTAACGAATTTTGCCGCGGATTTGACGAATTTCACGCTGTAAAATTGATTGTGCGAGCAAATTATTTCTCTCCGTCCCTTCGCGCTAACGTGTCAACAACAACGGTAGCACGAAAAGGAACGCACGCGGCTGTGACGGCCGTAGGCGCGAGTGAAAACAGCGCGTGTTCGTCGGACAGGTGGGGCCGCCTATGCGAAGGATTCGCGCTCGGCTCGGTACATCCTGCGTTCCTGCTTCTCCTGCGACCTGCGGAGGATCGCGGCGGGCGGGCCTGCACGCAGCTGACTCGGCGCTCGGAGCGAGCCGAAAGACGACGGGCTCCTCTCACCGTGGAATGACAATAAGGGGGTGCCGCACCGACGGGGTGGTATTATGCGGGGTACGGATTTGAGCGTACCGAAGTGCCCGGCGAAGGTGTCGCCCTTCGGAATGGCACTCGGGACACTGGCCGAGATAGCGGTGAGACTCGTGATCGGCGGCTATATATTCGCCGTGGTTGTCTACGTGAACGCCAGCGACAACTGGGATAAGGACGATGACATAGGTACGCGAATATTCGACAAACGAGGGTCACACTGCTGATCCAAGTGTGTCATTTCACATTATTGTCAATTTCTACACATTTTTACGCGTCATACTACGATTTTATGTAAGTGTGTGGAAATTATACATATTTAGATTTTTGCCGTGTAACTTTTACGCATTTGTGTGCACAAAATTACACTAGTGACGCGTGTAAATTACAGATGTGTGAAAAGTGACTGCAACAAAATGTGTAAAATTACACGCTTGCAGATTTGCAGTGTAAGCTACACGCGCGCGTCCGAACAATCGGGATTAATCGCTCGTCCGTTTCCTGATTCGGCTGAACGTACAGGGTGTCCCGAAACCGTGCTCTTCCGATTCAAACTCCTTCTTCCGGTTTCCACTGCGAATTTATACGAATTCGGCTCGATCCCGGCAAATTCGGCTTTCCTCTCTCTCTCCCTCTCTTTCTTCAGCGCACGCGTGAGAATGACTTCGACGTAGTTTCCCCGGCGTCTCGCGTCGCCCTTGCGACGACGAGATCGCCTTAAATCGTCTTCAATTGAGATCCCATGGATAGTGAGAGAGAGAAAGTGAGAATACTCGAAATTAGCCGACAAATATTACTTTCTTCACTTTACACTCTCTCTTTACGTGAAGCCGAGCTCTTCCGAGGAAAATTCTTTCCGTATCCCTGGCTGTTAGTTATCGGAAAGGCGTGTCTCGATATTTCAACGAAAAGTCGTCGAGAGACGTCTCGAGGATACTTCGGGTATATTCGGATGTGTTGATATTTTCAACACGGTAAAAACACGCCGGAAAATAAATATATGCGAGAATGTGCGCTTCCGCGCGAATTTTATTTCAATTGTTGTCGGAGGAAGGGAGAGAATAACAAGAACGTTAAATAATAAACAGTTTGAAAGTTTATGGTCGGTTTTTCGCGGGGGACAAGGGGGAGGAGAGAGGGAGAGAGACGCGCACTCGAGCCTTTCTTTTTAGATCATAGTTGTGCACACAATGTTAACGGAGAAAGAGAAATTTACTTAAGCGGAGTTATCGTGGATCTAGCGTTAATTCATGCTACACTCGTCGTGCACACTTAGTGCCGTTCGGCGCGCTAAAAACGGAGCCCCATTTCTATCTACGCGTCTCTTGTGTGCGCGCGGGATGCATATGTATTTCATAAATATATATTGAAAAGCGGCAAACTGACAGAGCCATGAAATTGGAAACTGTTAGGATCGATACCTACGAAGTTATCGCATTTTTAAAATGAAAGTGGGTCAAAATGGTCCCGGGACGCGGAACAGCAGGGTTGGACGCCTTTAAAACGTTATAAAATAGCAAATAAGTCCAGTAGCACACGCACGCAAACACAGACACACCGAGTCCCAGCCGAAAGTGTATATATATATATGGGGGGGGCTTTTACAACTTTTGAATTTATAATCGCGCCACTTACGGTTACTTAAAAATTTCCGGTTATATATTTCCAACTTTTGTTCATAGTTATATCCCGGTATCTGTCTCCCTTGAACTCCCGTTTCGCAGTTATCCGCGTATAGAGCGCACTGCATACGGGCATATTTCTACATTTTTCTCCATCTCGCTCTCCGAAAGTCTCCATTTATACTCCTCTAAGATACTTGAGTATAAAAAATGACAGACGTTTAAAGCGAACGAATAATCACACAGAACGGTTGCGCTGATATGAAGTTTGAAAAAAAACACAGAGAGAGAGAAAGAGAGAGAGAGGGAGAAGGGAGATTTTTAATCCCCGCGTTTCGAGCTCCGTTCAACCTTCGCTCTAACTCTTCGAAGGACAGGTGGAATTTTTTGCGAAAAAAAAACTCACTAATTCGCGTCACGAAAATGCCTTGTAGCCCGCGCATGTTACATTTCGCGTCGAAGCGTCACAAACAAATGTAAAAACGATATCCTCTGCCGGAAGAGTTCTCGTGTGTATATATATATATATATATACATGGAGCGGGCGTCGCATTCGATTGATGAAAATTGCGGCGTATCGGGGGAAACTCCCGGGGAAAATCAGACGCGGAAACTTGTTGCGATACCGGAAATCGCTCAGAGCATGAAACTTATTCAAAGAAACGTTACGCGACGTAATTATATTCCATACCGCCGGTCGGAAATTCTCCATTATGCGCGAAAATGAACTTCATCAGTGATATTTTTCAAGCAGCTTTCCCGTCCCGTTTATATTCGTAAGAAGCAAAAAACAGCTTTCCTTTTACATCGCGAGACAAGACTCTCTCTCACTCTCTTCCTCTCTCTTTTTCATCCTCGTGTTAAAACACAGAACGTACGAAATTGGAGCGACACCTTTGAAGATTTCGAACGTGAATTTATTTCGAGAAACGGGCGCGTCTCTCGGCCGTCGCGCTTGAGAATTTCCACTGGTTATGTTATTGTATAACGAGACTCAAGAATATGCCGAATAATTTCAGGAACAGATTTAATCTCGATTATTTTAAACATTGAATGTCACTCACCAGAATAGCTCGAGCAATTTCGCTCACAATGTACCGCTGCCCTGCTAACTCGATAAAACGCTTTTTACATTCTCACATAATGTAGAAACTAACGTTGGGACTCGGTGAATTTTTGCCAATCGCACAGAGATCAATGGTGGTTGTTGAATAATATATACGGATAATATATACGACGTTATTCGGTACATTTGCGCAGTTATTAAATTTATCAGTTTGAGAATCCAATCACCTCGTGCTCTACTTCATTTCTTATTCTCCTGAGAAAACAAAAGAAACGTTGTGAACGAAAGTATTCAAAGTATCCGTAGTTGACATGATTAGCCGTGATTTAGCCGTAAGGAAACTATATGGAGGTCACATTGTTGCTCCCGAGAACTCTCAGTAAAGAAACCGTTAAAATTGGAAAAGTTTCGAAAACTCCGCACGAATTATCGCTTCGACCCTTTGAGAAGAAGCTAAATTAAAAAAAGAAAAAAACAAAAAAATCGCATTACAACGCGCGTGCCACATTAGCCACTGCTCGTCGCGAGCACCGATAATCCGTTGACAGAGACAGGATAGTTAGATCGTCAAAGATAAATCTTGCTAGAAAAAGAGAAGACCGATCACGTCTCGAATGGAATGATTTTTCTGCCTACCTCGCGAAATCCACTCAAAGATCACACGCGTTACTAACGATACGATGGATAAATGCAAGTCGAATTCGCTTAACTCGGGAATAGTGATGGTTTTTTTGGTTTTACGTAAACGATCACTTGGCTTCGTTTTGTACCGTAATGTGTTTTTACAAGCTTATATAATGAGTAAAACGGGTCACAGTCTATTCTTGTTGCACAGGTTAAGTCTCTAAACATCCAAATGAAAGGTACATATTGGTTCCCGATCAATCAAAAAAAATTCACTGCTACGTGAATTTCATTTTCTGCCCACTGGGGTATGAAATGACCCCAGCTGACTATTCCCGGGTTGAAGCAACCGGTCGATTTCTCATTTCTATTCTCGCGAAATTCTCGAAACGAGATACGATTTCATTTTACGTTTGAAACAATGAGGTATGTTAATCTTCCCAGCGACGGTCTCTCCAGTGCGACCGTATCATGGCTATCGTTCGCTCGTGTTAATCACGATCTTTTGATCCTCCCAGTGTCCACGTCTAAAGTCAGCGCCGTACTTGGTCGTACTGCCACTTTGCCTTGCGACATCGAGCCGTCCACGCGAGAAGATCGCGTCTACATGGTGCTTTGGTTCCGCGATTACGAGAAAAATCCCATTTACAGGTGAGCGAATTCACACTGCTAATGCTAATACCGCTGTTGGAGCAGCGTAAGCTGAAAGCTCCTCCTGAAAAAACATGTGAGAAACCACGAAGATCCCACAGTGTGACAGTGTGGGCATATCGATTGATTTAATTAGAAAATCTTTTTATAACTTTGAGAATTAAGTGGAACGAGTCGTAAGTGATCTCGTTTATCTCCTTCGTTAAATTTATTTTCGCGGGATATACATATTTTATCATGTATCCTAATTACATTTGATATTTTATGTAATGTTTATTCGTTGTTATTAGTGATGATCCGTGTTTTCAACGAGACTCTGTGTTCTCGATTCTGCGCGATAAATATTTCCTTTCCTCGTTGGGGGTTATTTATAATTCGAAACGATATCATTTGAGAATTTATGAATGTATCTGCAATTTACCTTTGAGTAATTTTATATTATCTTATTTATGCAGCATCGTTTTTAATTATGTAACGTTCACTGATTTTTTTATTATTCTCTTAGCATTTCGCCGCGACAAAATCGATTTCCGTACTTGAGGGGGAATTTTCTGAAATTACAGATTATTAATATCCGTAAACCCCGAGAATATATATATCGTACAGACTCGCTCGTTCAGCTACAGATATTCACATTGTTGAAAACATTTGAAGATATAACATGGGGAATTAATTTTGTACGTATGACCAAGTTTTACGCCGTAAGGTTAAAAATATATCCGAATAAATCATTAATGAATTGCTGTAATGTATAAATTTCGATTTCAATATGAATATATCCCAGTACGATATATAGAGTGTTATTAAACAAAAATTCTCTCTGGGTCCCCTCGCTTCGCGGATTAAACAATTATCAGCGAAATACCGTCTCCTTTAAAATATTCATCAAATAGTGACGACATGAAGATTATTATGAATTAACGTGAAATTATTATAAAAACCCTATGAGAGAAATTTACAATTATAATACCTATATATTGTATTGTATTACATATGATATTTTATATATTACATATTTATAATAATGATATAAATGAGGTGGTATTATGGCTTTCTATATACATTCTGTACAATAATTTTGTTAATAATCAGTATTTCCAATTAAAAATTTCACGATTACATATCGTCAAAATATTGTGCAATCGATTCTAGACTCCAAATTATGAAATATTTATTACAGGACACGTATTATAGACTCTTTCGGAATTGATTCCGAAGTCGCTTAATTATTACTTATACAATACAAGAGAAAATCTAGGGAATAATTAAAAGATTACGATCTGAGTCGATTCCAAATATTTCCATAATAGATGCCTCGAAAACGTTATTTATAAAAATGTGGCGACACTATATTATTATATTAATAGATTGAAGAGGAGCGGAGGTGGTAATGTAGTAAATGTGTGTGTGTGTGTGTGTATGTGTGTGATACAGATTATAATATTACACGTTGAATTATGACGTCTATATAGAAAGGATTATATACAATGTGTGTGCAAATTCAGCTTCGACGTGCGGGGACGGGCTTTCAACAAGGCCCTGAACTGGTCGGACAGTACCGCGGTGGGGCCCAGGGCGTACTTCGTCACCGTGACGAAGCCGGCCGCCCTCTCGTTGGAGGCGGTCCAGCTGGACGACGAGGGTATTTACAGATGCCGGGTGGACTTTAAGAACTCCCCGACGAAGAACTTCCAAGTGAATCTCACGGTGATAGGTACGAGCTTCATTATCGTAACGACCAACCGATCGGTGTCGGCCGGTCGGTTGTACGAGTATATTGCCCCGATATGATTAAGCGCGCTCCGTAACGTGAAACTCTTCGGAGATCATTTAGCGCGACGGTATAACTACCGGAAGAAAAGAGAGAACAATTCGGGATTACCGTTAGCCGAGGAAAGAGAGAGAGAGAGAGATCTTTCTTCCGTCTCGACGCGAGAAGTTAAACTTCTCGTCGGAACGATCTCACTCCGTCGCCGGCGGTTTCGCTAATTGAAGGGGGTCCGTCGCCGGGGGTGGGTCGGGGTGTAACCCACTTTTCCCCGGGAACTTGGGGGCGAATTAATCGAAATTTCATTTTCGCAAGAGAGAGAGGGTTTAAAATTAATTTTCTCGAGTCCTTAAAAAGACGGCACGAACAAACGAATGAACGGACGGACGGACGGACGGACGGACGCTCGCTCGCTGTTGCGTTTGATTAATCGTCCGTCAATTATGGAAAGGGAACTCCGTTCGCGGGATTGTTCGCAGTACCACCACACCAGCTGCTCATTTATGATCACTCCGGAGTGCAGCTGGAGAACACCGCCGGGCCGTTCGAAGTCGGCGAGGAGTTCGGGCTGTCCTGCGAAGTGAGAGGAGGTAAGTACCTCCCCCTTCGGGGGATATCCCGATCCGATCGTAGACCGGAGCTAGAGGTTTGCAAATTTTTACCAATTTTGCGGCTTAAACTTCTCGGACATCCGGTTGTTGCCAGACCTGCGCCTTCGTTTATTCGTCCTTCGAAATTCGCCGTCGCGAAATTCCCGGTCTCCCCGTTGCATGTGTGTGTTTTATATTTCCTGATCTTAAAATAATCTCTTCCTTTACCTTGAGTCTATGTTTTTGACCCTACATTTTGGAAAAACGTGTAGTAGTTATAAAAAGAAAAAAATCCAAGGCTTTTTAACGTGACATATATAGACGGTTTTGTTTTTTTTTTTTCAAAAATGTCACATAGGAGGAAAGTTGATAGGGTGAGAAGGGGAAAGAAGAGATGGGGTTTCGTAAAAAAATATCTACATCCCGGAGATGCACGTTAGTATTTTAGACACTTAAACATGCGATACGATGAACTGTCGGAACGAATGATCCGAGCCAGCTGACGTAACGCCGAAGAAGACGAGTGTGTCTATCGAATCGCGATGCGTTCGGCTTGCCGGGTTACACGGTGAGAAAACGGCGTTATCATTACCGTGCAGTTAATTAATTCGGAACAACGCTCCGAGCTTAGAGAGCATGTACTTGGAAAATTGTCGAGTTTAGGATTAAAGTTACCTTTGTTTCTTCATCACTCTTCCCCCGGATTACCTGCGAAACTTGCTAATTACTCAGGCCAAAAAGGAGAGAATATATAAGAAATATCTTTCTCTCTCATCTACGTGCATTTCCCAAGATGAAACCTCATTCTCGAACGAAGCGTCACATGCGCGCGTGAGTTTACACCATCGTCGTCGAAGGCAGTGATTCCACCCTTCCCCCGCCTCTCGCCCCCTGATATCTCCTCGTATAATTCTTTTCCTTCTCTGCTCGATCCGTTTGTTAATAACAGACGTCGGAGATGAAATACGGTGTTTCGAGGTGAAATAAATTTACGGCGGCACACTTTAAGAGCAGCAATGAATTCACCCACGTAATCCTCGCGTCACGCATTTCCATTTATAATATTTTATCCGTTAATCCTTTCCCCTCCTCCCATTCTTATCCCTCTCTCTTTCTCTCTCTCTCTCTCTCTCTCTCTCTCTCGGAGAGGAATCAGGTTTCTCATTAACATGTTTAGCCAGATACGAATCTCGGCGGGTGACAAATTACCCGTCGGCTTCGCGTTACACGTGTAAACGCTCTGGAGATCGCGTGAATGAACAAATAAAAAGAGAGTGTGAGATTGAGAGAGAGACAGGGAGAAAGCAAAGGAAGAGGAGGAAGAGGGAGGAGGAGGAAGAAAAAACGGGAGAAAGAGGGAAGAATAGCGCGCGGTATCGTTCGGAATTAAATACGAGCTTCTCCAAGTGGCCAGGAATTACGCGGGCGCGCTCGATCGGAGACACCCGGTATTAAGCGTAATTATGGTCTCGGTGATTTGTCTGCTGTCACGCGAACGATCGAGCGGTGGAGTTAATTAGCCGCGTATAATTTCCGTGCTTTCCGTGCTTTCGCGCGCGTACGTCCCTCGACGAGAAGGCAAACCTACGCCGGTGGTGAGCTGGCTGGTGAACGGCGAGGAGGTGGACGGCAGGCTCGAGGAGTTCGGCCAGAACATCGTCGTCAGCAAATTGACCGTGCCGCAGCTGCGAAGGGAGCACCGCGACACCACGTACAAATGCCGGGCGGCCAACACGCATCTAATACCGCCGTTGGAGAAGACGGTGATCCTCGACGTTTATCGTGAGTATACCCTTCCCCCTCCCCGCCGAGAGAACCACCGGGGTCCGAAGCGAATTTTCGCGGACGAGGGAACGACCTTCGTCCTGACTCTCCGTTCGGTGATGCGACGCGCGCGCAAAAGAGAAAAGAAAAGGTCAGAGGAGAGGATTTCCCTTTAGATTTTTTCTTCGAGGAGAAATGTAGAAATTTGGATAAACGCGTGTCGACCTCGCTCGCATTTAGAGGGATAAATAAATCTCCCGAGAAAAAACCGGCAAGGAGACTCGACAAGGAGAACGACTTTTTTCGAGCTACGAGTTGACGGAAAATCAGGCGAGGCCATTGAGAAATTCTCATTGGAAGATCAGTCGGTGTACGCGTGTAATGCACTTTGCAATCGAAATCTAGATTAGAGAAGTTCAATTCGGCGAGTGCGCGGTATATTTTAAAACAACTTTAAGCGTATTTGTCAAAAGTGTCGTTCATTTGCCTGTAACGTTGCTTGTAGAATATTCACGCAGACTTGGCAGAATTAATCAAAATTCGTTGCGCGGCAATTCAATATGTTATTAATTTACAGTTAAACACTGCAAGCACGGATTTTTTTCTCGGTGCATTTTTATGCATTTTCATGCATTATCGACTTGATGAATTATCGGTCGGTGTGCTAAATATAGTTCAGCTCCGATTTCAACACGCGAGCGGTCATTAAAATTAGGGTAACCGCGAAGATAAATTTAATTTAACTAAATTTCAAACGGAGAAAATAATTTCTGTCGTGTTTATGTCTTCGACGTTATTCGAATAAACATTTCAACGGAACTTTTTCTACACCTATTTGAAAAAAATACATATTTGAACTTTTTCCATACGTATTCGGAAAAGATACACATTTGCTATTTCCCTTAGAAATTATTCACGACACAACCCGATATTTCTTGAATAGCACACTCCATCAGATAATTAAATTGTTTCGTATCATGTCTTGTTTAAGCAAAATGATATGATTCTGTATAATACAATTCTTTTCGTTATTCCCATAGCATTTCACTAGTTTGGAGAATTGATTTTCATATACTTGATTAATTTCAATCATCATCTCCTAATTGTTCACTGTCTCCCTTAAAATACTCAAGTATGACAGCCTGAAAATTATGATTAAACGACGAATCGGTGATTAAATCGCACGACGATTTGTGAGGATTATATTTGACGACGTAAAACCAATCTTCGACGTGCCAGCTTTGTTGAGAATTATTTATAACTCGATACTCCAATAGTATGTAACAAGAGTTAATCGCAAATGACCTTCGGATTGGTTCTAGTGAAACCACTTATCGTGAAAATACTGTCCAAACTAACGATCCTGGAGACGGAGAAGGATTACTCCATCACTTGCGAGGCGACAGGATCGCATCCTCGCGCTCGCATCATCTGGCTTGAAGGAAACACTACGTTTCGTAGCGGCAAGGTTGATAACGACGCTTTGAAATGTAATATAGGATGATTCGTCTTAAATTATACACTTGACTTTTCTTCAAAACCGAGTATTTTCCGAAGAAATGTCATGATTCTGCATCTTGCAATATTTTATTTCTTTTTTATATAGAGATATTTTATTTTTTTTAATATAAAGATGTGGAGTTTAGTGTGCAAAATATTGCTTGTTTTGAAGCCGAAAAATGAATATGTTTGTAATTTTTGCGAATAACATTTTTTCACAAGGTTCTTTTTTAAGTTTTCTAAGGTAAAAAGACCGAAAAATAAAAATTTGAGTTAAATTTAAATGTCTCTTTATTTGGTAGAAACTGTCCTTTTTTGACAATTTGTATCTGCTTTCTGACAAGTAAATCAGTTTTGACATTAAAATCTTACGGTTATATTCACTATTGTTCTTTCTAAAAAAATTGATCTTGAATAAATATATAAATTTATTAAAAAAAATTAATTATTAAGACTAGTAACAAAAGTGTATATTTCTTTTTTCTAAGTGAACCAAATTTTTAAATTTATCTTAATGAAGCACCATATTACCATCCCTATTTCTCTTTGACCCATTACACAATATGCCGCCATATATTTAGAAATAACATCCTAAATAATAAATATTTCATAATTGTAAGTCTAGAATCGATTGAGCAACATTTTGACGAACGTCGTTAAATTTTCAATTAAAAATATTGATTATTAACAAAATTATTGTACAAAAATGTAAATAGAGAGCCATAATATCGCCTTCCCGAAATATTTCATATTTTATGCTCCTCCCGGAATCACGCGACTTTTATTTAAAACATTATTTTTTTCAGAGAAGAGCTTAGCTTCTAGAAAAAACTTGATATATCACTCAAAATGAATCATCCTGCACACATGACGATCGCTACGATCGTGTGTGACTTTCTGATCGGTTCGTCGAATTGTCGTAATTCCCGATTTTCGAATGCACTCAGGTAATGGAGAGCGGTAACGCCTCGGTGGTTCTGAGCACGCTGATATTCTCACCCGTCCCGGACGATCACGGCAAAATGCTGAAGTGCCGGGGCATAAATTCCGCTCTGAAGAACGCGTTCTTGGAAGACCAGTTGAAGCTGAACGTCGTCTGTAAGTGCGCCTGTGACTCTGTTTTCCCTTTTTACGAAGCGAGAGAGAGAGATTATCGTGGGAGAAGTGAATTTTCATTCGATTGATAAGTCCACTACGAATTAAATTTCATTTATCATTTACAATCCGCTGATAATATCCCCCACAGACGCGATATAATCTTTTATATATAATCTTTTCATACTTAATAATTTAATTATAATAATATCATTAGTTTACGCGATTTAATACCGTCATTTATCGTTGAAGCGCTTTTATTTAAAACGGCCCGTTTTATCGGACTTTATTGGACGATATTGTCGTTCGTTGAACGACGGTGAAATCTAAATATACGAGGTGTTCTAAAAGTACGGCAGGTAGACACAATATAAATATGAAAGAATGCTTGTCAATGGTGCGCTATTACAAAGAGGAAAAGGTTTCTTTAGATTGAGTATTTCTATTCATTTGATTAAAATTTGTTTCATAGAAACAACGAAATATTATTTGCTTGAGTAAAAATTGTATCGTCTCATCCAAGAAAACTCTATTATTTAACAGAAAGAACGCTATTATTTGAAATAATAATAATATAATATTTAAAGAAAGAAAGAAATATTATTTGGTTACAATAAATATGTAAAATGAAACGAGTAATTTCTTTATAAGAAAATTTTCTTTCGTTTCAAACAAATCTTTTATTTCAGATAAAGATACATATTCGTTGAAAAGTCTAACAATCGTGTTTATTAATCGAAACATTAGTTTCTTCGGAGCATGCAGATCATGAAATTTGTTTGGATGCAATAAAATTATTAAATTTGAAAAAATCATTTTCTCAGTGTATGCACACTGAGAAAAAAATACAATTATTTTCGAGGGATAACGATATCCTTTTTTCATTTTAACTACCAAAAATAGTCAAGAGAACTATTTTTCCAACGAGTGTCATTATAGTGTCAGTGTTAATAATCTTACATGTGCATATTGAATTTTTGTGGTTAAAATAAAAAGGGGATATCTTCCCCTTTTAAACCCCAAAAATAACTGTGTTTTTCTCTCAATAGAACTGCAATTGATCCCGCAATGCCTGTCCGTGTGTTAAATTGATCGTTTGAAACTGGAATAGATTGCATGAATATTTCTAAGAAGTGAACACACACATACATACGAGAGAGCCGAGGTGGACAAGCTCATCGGGTCATTGTTGCCGTCGAGCAAGATCGGATATACCGTAAATTAGTCGCACGAATAGACGCATATCTTATTTACACCAGAGCTTCTCCATACACACACACACACACACACACACACATACGTATACTATTCTCTGTTGCTTTTAATATTTCATGGCCGGCTTTTTCGGAACTCGCCGTATCGTATTATGGTAGCGTAACGCATGCAATATTAAAGCATCGAAAAAATTTTCCCCCAGTTCCGCCTAAAGTGCAGCTGCATCTGGGCAGCACCCTGAACGCGGAAAACATAAAGGAGGGCGACGACGTGTACTTCGAGTGCAAAGTGCGGGCCAATCCGGAACATCACAAAATCACCTGGCGACACAACGTAAGTCTCCCCGTCATCGATCACGAGAGAGATCCTTCGCTCTCGAGCAAAGTCGAACTCGTCGCGGAAAAGTTCCTCTTCGTCGTCCCGCTTCGGAATTTCGTGTTCCGGAAACACGCGTCCTCGGAACTCGAGAACTGTCGGTTTATCCTTCCCGCTCGAAAGATCGCCTCTATCTATGCATGAGATTTTCGGGCGAAAAAAGCGAAGGACACTTCAGCACGGACGGAATATCGTCGATATATTCCGAATTTTTATAGAGAAGTCTTTCCGCGCGCGCGAGGAATTCCCACTAGGAAACGGTGGGGCGGGGGGAGAGGAGCGGGAGAATTCCGGTAGCAGGTTCGCGAAACTCTTCAGAATTTCGCTGTTGGGACTAATTAATTTTTGCGCAATGGCGAATTTATATAGGAGCTAATGAGACACTATCATTGTTTCAATGTGGAATTTCAAATTGTCTATTACAATAAATAACATCATATTGAGAGAAAAAAATGTCTGAAAAATAAAAAAATATTTTTTTTCAACGGGTATTAATAACATATTTATTTAAACCTAAATTCCTTTATTTAAATAGAACAAATAATTGCTTTCAAAGTTACAGATTTAAAATAATATATATTTTCTAATTTGGAAAAAATTGTTTCTCAACGTAAAAATATATATATTCGTGTAAATGAACGTGTTACTGTTATCCATCGAATAAATTATCTTTGAAATTAAATATTTTTTATTTTTAGATATTTTTTTCCCCTCAGTGTAGCATTAAATCCCCAAAAAATCGCCATCTGTCACCATTCTTGACTGGATGGAAACATAATAGAGATAAACTTTCTCCGTGTCTTTCTTATGCCAAAATGATTCCACGAAACGTATATATATATATATATATTTTTTTTTATAATAAGCGAAATATGAATATACCGCATGACGTGGTCAACCTGACCCGATCTCTCCCCTGCCCGCCGCGATAAAGTTTCGCTCGAGGTCGATTCGCTGTTTTCGATTGCCGTGATGATAAGATCGGATGTAGGTCGCTGTCACTTTGAAAGCGGCCCGCTCACAGCCGCCACGTAATTAAACCGTTAATGATGTCCACCAATGATAGGGCGCGGTGCTCACGCAGAACTATTCGGCCGGCATCATCATGAGCACCCAGAGTCTGGTGCTGCAGAGTATAGGTCGCGACAACGCGGGCAATTACACGTGCCTGGCCAGCAACGATCGCGGGGAAACGACGAGTCCTATCGTGACCCTGAGAGTGCAGTGTAAGTAGACACGAAGAGCTCTGTCGCGTGATAAGGAAGCGAAAATCGACACGAGTTCAGGCATCTCGCGATAGCCGACGACGTCGACATCGATGGCGACGCGCGATTTTGACCTTCGCGTTTCGCTCGCGGCTAAACAAGTCGCGAAATTCAGCGGTCAAAGGCATGGCTTTCCCTCTCTCTCTCTCTCTCTCTCACATTCTCACTTACTCTTTCAACCCCCCCCCCC